CATTTGTATTTTTCAAAGGTTCTTTCTCTTTATCACAGTTTTCTAGCTTTTGGTTCAATGCATTGTTTTCATTATTTTTATCGTTTATTTGTTTTTTTAACTTTTCGTTTTCTTCTTTAAGAGCTTTGATACTGTTCAAAACTCCAGATTGTGGCGTCGACATGGTGTAGACATAAAAACAATCTTTATTGAATATTTTAAATAAAAACTAATTTTCAGAATTACATATGTGAATTTATTTTTGTGAAACATTATTTTTTATTTTTTTACTTCTAAAGGTAGAAAGTTCTTCTCCGAATTCTTTACATAATTCGACAAGTTCGTTAATTTTTATATCTAAACTAGCATTTCTATTATATTCCGCACGTAATGCATCTAAGCATTTTTCTATTTGCTGTTCTATTTTTTTTAGTTCATTTTCTAACGTTTCGGAATTATTTTTTTTTAATTCTTCGTTTTCTTTTTTCAATTTACTAATTTCATCGGTTAAACGGTTAAAATCTCTTTGAATACGATTAACTTGTTCAGAACCACTTTTACTTGGTAGTTGAAGAGCTTTTTGATTACTTTCAGTCATTTTGTTACTATTACAAAATAATTATTCATTACATATTTTTATATTAGAAATATTATTACAAGCGTTAACTAACAAATTCATTTTTTGATTTATGTTAATATTATTATCGTATTTAATATTTAATAAAGCTAAAGAACGATCGATATCTTGTTCTAATTTTACTATATTTGTTTGTTTGAACAATATCAAATATATTATTTTGTTAAAGTTTTGATAAAGATCATAAAAGTTACGTAATATTTCATTGAGCCGCATGTTCCAAATAGTAATTTTCAGATGCAAATCTAAAAGAAAGTTAAAGTTTAGACAAATTACAAAAGAAAACGAACAAGAATATTTAACGAACCAATTAAAAATCTAATCATCTTTTTTTTGATAGAGTTTATAAAAATTATGTATTTAGCTTAAATTATTTAATCAACCTATAAAAAGTAATCTTATACAAATCTTATTTATGTAATCTTAATCAATCCACAAAAAGCAATCTCATACAAATCTTATCTTCTAAAGTTCTTTTAATCAATCCACAAAAGCATCTCATACAAATCTTATTCCTGCAATCAAGTTTTTTTAATCAATCTACAAAAGGCAAATCATTTTATTTCATAAAAGAAATTATTTATTATTTATTTATATTTGATTTGATTATAGTTTATTTAAATCATAAAAGATAAAGAAGTTTTAAGATTACATAATTATTCATAATTATTCTGATTTAATAATTGTTTCAATTGCTTTTCTAAGACGTTTTT